TAGGTTTGGCATTGCCAATGGAAATTGTGTTGTAAGTCTTTTGGAACATTCTACCATCTAGGGCAGGAATGTCAAATTCGATTTCATTGAGGGCCACATCAGGGTTGTGTTTGACCTGGTGGGGGGGCGCTGGAGTGGGCTTGGCCAGGGTAGGCATGGCCATTTTGACATCATTCATGTGGGGGACACCTGGGGTGGCCTGAGCCCTCTGACAGCAAAAACGGAGCTCAGAAGGGCTGCCCACGACCCTTGTGAGCTCCATTTTCAGTTGCAACAGTTTCCTGAAATCCTCTGCCAGTGAAAACAGAGCTTCACTTTGTGCAATTCCAGCTGCTGACTAAAAATGATAACCATACCCTCCCTTTGTTTAGCAATTGCAATTTATTCTAGCATCTTAGTCATTAAGCAAAATGGTTGCAAATGTGCATGAGACAGAATGTGAAGATCACTAGTTGCTGTCATCACCTTTAGATGAAATTCCCTAGTTCTGTGCCTGGCCCTTTTTTCTTTGGTTCTTCTCCTGTCTCCCACACACCCCACGGAGAGATTGCACAACCATGAGCTGCTTTTCTTTGCAGCGTGACCTTCATTAGGTCTGTCCTCTTTCAGTGGCTATGTGAAACTGATCCCACCTTAATCAGTTTCACGCTGAAGGTGTGCCTGTTGTGAGGCCATGAAATTTGGTGGAAATATACATATTGTGAGAAGATGATTTTTTTAAAATATTACTGTTTACTATAGCCATATTTAATAGAATAGTCACTAATTTAGGAGTGGCTATATGCACAGGATTACTCACACTCAGACTACCAAATGTGTTAGTGAATTGCTTTGATTCAAGGAGTAGCTCCATTAGATGTATCACCGTGTTTACTAAATTTAACTGAGAATGAATTTGAACTATTTGAATTCTTCATTTGAAGAACGTGGGAGGTGGAATCATAATGCTGATTTTAAAATGTAAAATTAAGTATTTTTAAGACATACAAGTAATTATGTCACAGATGGGAATTTCGGAAGAACATAAGGTAATCAGGAAAAGAAAACAATAGTAAATGCTACAAAATTATGACAAGGAATAAATATAATATACTCCGCAAGGCACATTTTGGCTGATCCAGTTGCAGAAGAGTATTTGGCTAAGATGTCAAAAGTATATTTCATTAAACAAATTCATATCATTGTAATTTTGGGATTTGAGATTCTTCCCAATATATAAATGATTTCAAATATGATTGATCTGTAAAATTAATATTTCCACAAAACTTGAACAATTAAGAGCATTCTATAGTATTAATATTAATATAACTATAATGAAGATAATATCAGTATTACATGAAGATAATAACAATAACAACAATGGAAGCTTGGGGGACAAAACCTGCATTCTTTTTAAATTCTTTACACAGGACCAACGGGGATGTTTTTCTTTAAAAAAAAATTAGTTCTGCTAGAAATATAACCTCGATTTCTGATTTAACAAAGGCATATCTTGAAATAGAAACCAACCAGCAAACATAGTAGCTCTTGCATATTTAATGGCACTAGAGAATCACCAAATGCCTCAAGAACTCCCTGCTTTGGTCAACACAATATATATACTTACTTATAAACTACAAGTAATTCAGATCTTTATTAATGATTTCAATATATTAGTCTGAAATTATAGCCATATGCATTCCCTTTCTGCTTTCCTTTTGCTCCTCTTGCCGATAAGAATCTCAGAAGGGAAAGGTGAGTGTGACCTTTATAATCCTTGTTCATCTCAGCACTCTGTGTCTTTTCATCCAGGGTTTCTCTGCAAACAAAACAGCAATTTGCTCTGGCTGGAAACGATAAATAGTGTTTACTATATTGACAAGTTTAAACAGCCATTGGTTAGATATCATAGATGCTGGTTAGTATTCAGCATGCATGAGAGATTATTTACTAGGAAAACTTTTCCACTGGCAATTAAGCTGACTGAAACACAAATATAAGCCTATGCTTAGAATTGCAGCTTCTGCTCTGTAAGCACTGAATGGTTTTTCCAAGGAGTAGGGGAATAATTGAAGTCATTTTTGTATGTACATTGAAAAATGCAATCCTATGCATGTTGCCAGGGTGTAGGCTCAATTAAGCATCGTGGGACATTACTAAGTCAACATATGTCTCTGCTCCATGATGAAAGATCCTTACACATTTAGCAGTTACCCTTTTTAAACTATGGCATTTTCTTCTAAGTAAATGTACTGAACTGTAAACATCCCTCAGGAGTATGTGGAACTATAGTATATTTATATAGAAAATATAGGGAGAAATCTAAAACTGTTTCATATGCCTCCTCCTCCTCCTCCTCCATTAATGGGTGGGATGAAAAAGAACAAGCTGAAACTGAATTCAGGAAAAGTGGAAGTTTCCTGTTGGTTAATAGGAAACTGGAGATTCAGCCTGATTTGGACGGAGTTAAAAGATTTATCATCTGGAAATTCTCATCAATTCTCAGCTGTTTTGGGATTTTTATAGCAAGGGCCACTTTTGTATAATTAGAGGTAGTATGTCAGTTGCAACTATTTCTGGTCAGATTTAGTTATAATTATCCATGCCTAGATTAGATTTTGTGTAGATTGCTGCAATGTACTCTAAATGGAACTACATTGAAAACAAATCTGAAAATTAAATGTGGAGCGACATGTAGCTACTTCAACTGGTGCCAACTACAAGGATTATATGATGCCCTGTTGAAGGATCTGCACAGCCAATTGTCTAATAGGCACAATTTAAAATAGTATTATTGACTTTTAGAACTATAAATGCCTAAGACTATCAAAAGCCAACATATATCTTTATAAACCTGCCAAATTGCAGTAGATGCCTTTCTGATGTCCCATTTGTTAAAGGCTATCTTTCTGGGATGTAGGGGAGGATCATCAGCTTCCAGGCTGTGGAATATACTCTTATGTATTTGGCTCCTTCACTATTTTGAAGAATAACTAGGACACATCTCTTTCACTAGGCTTTTATTAATGAATGAACAATTGCACTGGTGTTAATGTATTTGTCTGAATTTTATTTGTTTTTTTTGTGTTTAGATAAAACTCTCAAAAGGAAGTTCTCTGCAAAATGTAAGCAAAGCATCTCACTTCAAAATGGGAAGTACCTGCAGCTTCTGAAAGGCTTGGCATGGTTGCTTTTTGGGCCTTCCTTGGTTATCCATACCAGTGCACTTGCCAAATTCATACTTTTCAAATGCTTTGCACAGTCCTGGTCTAGTTTTTCTTGATCATTAATGAATTGTGTGCTCAAATTAAGTAGACTGGTGGAATAGAAACCAAATACATAAATAAATTCTGTGCCTTTGGAGAACAGGGTTCAAATGTTCGTCTTGAATGGGGAGAAAAAACAATAGATAAATTAGAATGAAATTTAAATGCTCATTATTTGATTTTGTAGGAAACTTGGCATGATTTATCTCTTCCTCTTCCTGTCTGTGGTTTCTGCACTGATTGACTGCCTTTAAAGATGTTGCCTGATTACAATTCTGAGGCAGAAAGTCATTGTTCTGAAAACTAGTTGTGCACATTCAGCCTAATTGAATCCTAAATTTTCCTAAGAGGAATTATTTAAACATCTGTTATATGATCGGTAGCAGAAAAGGCTAATGTAGTGGAGAGCTATTAATCGAGCTATAGTTTCCTGGTTACGGAAAATAATAATTCTGCTTTATTAGTCTAGTTCTGGTCACTGCATTTGAAGGAAGACACGGTGATTTATAATGAGTTCAGAGAAAGGTAAAACAGCCTAATGCTCAATCTCCATCTTATGGTATCCATTTTATAAGCTCTCCCCTGAAGGAACATTGAGGGTGAAAATGGAGCTGGGAACAGCGGAGGAGCAGCCCCATTTGTGGCAATTTCTTTCACTGATTTTACATTCAAAAGACAGACAAAAAAATATAAGACAGGCTATCTCAATCACTTTTAGATGACAAATGGAATCATGATTAAAATCAGTTACTCTAATCCTATTGCTAGAAATCATGTTTTAAAATTACACTCAAGGCATGCACCTTTAACCACAGTATAACCCATGGTTATACTGTGGTTAAAGGTGGGTGCCTTCAATGTAATTTTCAAGGTACAAGTTCACATTTTATGATTCAGCAAACAAGATCTGTATCTCTTAAGTGACTGTCATTATTTTGCTTTAGTCTTATTAAATGAAGATGTTCTATACAACCAACATACCAGAAGGCCAACAGTTACAAATATTAAAAGCACCTTAATAAAGTATCTTTCCTAGTAGTTTTAGGCCATAGATTCAAGAGGGAAAAAAGGGAATAAACATATTTTTCCCTTGGTTCAATTTGACATATATTAGGCAATGGAATGTTCTAGTAGTTTTTATATTTAATAAAAGGGAATAATTGTTATTCAAATGACACACAGAGGCAAACTTTGAGCACAATATTCTTGGACAATAACTGTGCATAGAAGAAAAGTCGTTCCGTAAAGATGCAAGATTCCACACCTGAAAGGCAATTATAGAAATCTTGGGGGAGGGGAACCAACATAAGGAAACACAATTCAGTACATGATCCCCAAGTATGTTATTTTAAAAATGCTAGCTTAGTTAATAATACTAACTTACAGTAAGGAAAAAAAGGGTATTGCTATACCTGCAGTTCTCAGTGAGACATGACATACAATCTGAACCCTTCCCAACCTCCAAGTCTAATAAAGCATTCCAGACTCCAGTCCAAAATTATCACATAAAAGTCTTCTGTGTTAGATACAGAAATGGGGCTCGGAAGCGATGACATTTGAAAACCAATAAAGCTCCAATAAAGTGCATTTATGATTCCTATCAAAAAAAATTGGGCTTTTTTGTTCTTGATGTTCCAAGTTAGAGCTTGTTTCATTTTTTTTATATTATGAAAATAACGAAGACAAAGGTTGAATGTTCTTCCTTGCAGAAAGTCATTTTCTCGTTTCCTACCCTCCCTCCCTCATAAATACAGATGCAATCCCATTTGTCCTAATGTTACAGTTACTTTGTCTAATTTTAAAATGAGGCCTTGCTGCATAAATCAGGGTTTACTTGTCTCCCAATCCTGAAAAGAGAAGAAAAGGCTGTCAGGCATGAATCATATTATACACATTGATAGTTTAATGACCATAAATCTTCAGAGCTCATCTGAAATCTGGTCTTTTTTAGAATAGTATTACTGCCACCCAGAGAGAGATTTTAGAGACTGAAAGTTGATTATAAAGGGCTCCTGTAATGATAATAGAATTGTGAAGATAAAATTATTTACTAACAACATAATAATATATCAGGACAGCAAATATATTAGAATGTAAAGTTACTGAAAACTGATAGCTAAAACTCCAGTTTATTTTTCCTCCCAAAAGAGGAAATGCTACCGATGCAGTAGGATACTCTAAGACTATAATCACACAACTATCTTCCTATTTTAATCACTCTGGTCTGCACATAGTTTTAGAAAGCTACAAAATGAGATTTGGTGTTCCTCAACTTCTTTTTTGGACCATTTGTAGAAGACATTATTTCCACTAACCTATGCATCCCCAGACTATGCTTCTTTCCTGTTTATGAAGTTTCTTTCTAGGATACACCAAATTCAGCCCCCCATAGGCCAAGAGATGACAAATATCAGAAAAAATGTTACTGTATTTAGGAATATTCAAAGGTCATGAGTTGAATGAATAAAGTTGTGTTTAGTAGAAAATGACAACCAATTTGAATATGTAATTAATATAAATTTAACATAAATATGGACCTAATTTTTTGTATACCACTGCATAGTATAATAGGGTTCTATTTTGGCTCCTAAGGTAGCATTATTGAATTGTTGAGATGTAGGAATAAAATAATAAGTTACAGTCTAGTACACGGGTGTCAAACTCGTCATGTCACATGACATACCATGGCAGTTTTTCCCTTCACAGAGCAGGGTAGCCATGGTCTGTGCATGACGCATCTGGTCTGTGGGCCACTAGTTTGACACCCCTGATCTAGTATTAATCTATGTCTAAATTAATCAAATTTTAATGTTTAATGTCTAAATTAATCAAAACCATTTTTCTTTCAATATTTATTTTGAAGAAACCACATTCTGAGAAAGACATAGACAAGATTTCTTACTGCACTCTAAATAATATTCAGAATTCTGAGAATTCTGAGAATGGCATTTAACATGCATATAACATATCCAATAAAATGATATCTCTGACTACGGCCTGTTTATCTCAGATGGTAATACAACTGAGAAGTGGACTGTAATGGAATGATTCAACACAGAGTGGAGCTGGCACTGGCAGACAGATGGAATCTCAATTCAATCCCTGAATGATTGCACTCCGAAACATTACATTAAATAGCATAAGAAAAAGATAAAACTTATTACAAATAATAAGCATGGTGCAATGGACCAGAATAGAGATACACTTTGGAAGCAACCATCCAGGTAGGAGTGGAACTTATAATAATTGCATATTTCAACATTTATTATGAAAAACACTGTAGTTGATGGAATTTCATCCATGGTTGATGGACTGAAACCTGCTAGTGGGCAATTAGGTCTTGTAAATTAACTATTTTAAATTCATGGAAGAAGATTCGTCCTTCCTACTGAAAAACTTTATGAATGGAATAGGGATCCTTTTCAACTATGTGGGTCAGTCCATGACAGAGATATGCTAGAGCTCACTAGCATATTGTTAAATTTTCTGGAATTTTGTGAGCTAAAAATGGGGTAGTTTCAAAAACAAGAGAATTTCTAATTATTCCATGATCGCTGGGGAATAAACATTAATTCAAAATTCATTAATTCAACATTAATAATACACTCAGAAAGAACTTCATGAGAAATTCATTAAACTGAGACATATGACACTTTAAGCTTAAGTGAGCAGAATATTTGCTCTGGATAGAGAAGAGTTTTGTAACCTTTCTATTTACACCCAACAATTATTGCTGATAACCAAAGAGATAGATTAAAACACTACTGTGGGATAATGCTAACACCATCTGTCAAGTCAGGTGCTAGCTACTAGCTTGATGAATAATGCTGTCATCAGCACTCAAGAGTAGATGGAAAGCTATTGCTTCAGTAATTAGGCTGCTTTTAGATATTCAGTATAATTTGTTCTTGTCATTACAAACCTCTATTAAAAGTCATCTTCTATTGCTTTATTAATAGTTCCCTTTTTTACCATTAGGTGATACTATTGTCTCTGATATTGAGTATGTTTCCTAGCTTTTAATGACCAGAATGAAATGGATGTTTTTGTCATCTAGGAACAAAGGCATATTTGGAATGTGACAAATCTTGCAGAGTTAATCCAGGACCAGGGATCATTCTACACTACGCAAATAATATAAGTTGTAACTAAATATGTTGATGCCTATGCAGTTAGGTCCTACTTACAATTACTTACTTACCTGTAGAAATAGGGACAGTCATAGGAATCAATTTATATTAAAATTCAATTCAGAATATAATCTAAGAGACTGAAATAGTTTGTATGAGCATAATCTAAATACTGTTTGCAAGGCTATATAGAAAAGTACACTATAAAAGTTAAATTTGGTTGATATGAATATGTTTGTATTGATTTATACTCATCATTTTCTCCATTTTTATAGTATTATCTCATCCTGCTTTGAGATTAGATTTGAGAAGTATCGATGGTTCACAATATGAATATGAATGTTAATTTCTTTTTTCTCAAAACAAAATGATTTTGGTTTATTCTAAGGAATGCAGTATGGCAGAAAATCCTGATGGAGCACTCAATTTGCTACTTTTCATTAATATTCAAAAAGATAGCTTGTCTTATAGAGATAGCTTGTCTGATAGAGCTTCTACCCACAAACATAGTTTCCAATATTTACTTGTCATTCTCCATATTAGCATATCCAGATAGTATCAAATGGTCTAGAGAGAATATTATTGTTTCCTTATTAATTCAATATTCTACAATATATTAAAGTCTATAGAGGCATTATCAGAGATGCAAGATATTAAAATATACCTTTTCTCTCTGGTTTCAAGAATATTTTAAATTGTTTTCACAATGTGAAATCAGCTTTTCATACATTTCAGCCAACTAGCTAACTTTCAACTAGTCAGAAGACATGATGGAAACTCCCCAATTTCACAACACATGGGCAGCCTCAACCATAGTTTCAACTGGGATTCAACTGGCGTTCTAGACCAAGCTAAATCCCAAAGTCCCAGAGAATTCCTAGAAGCTTAGCATTCAAGATAAATCAGCCATCAACATAGAGATAAACCACATTTACACACCATCCAAAATAGACAATTAAAAAAAACTTCCTCTGAGGAAGTAAATTCTGAATTTAGTAGACAGTATTGGGTCATTGTCTTCTACCAGTTATTGAGTAGACAAATTGCACACTATGTTTTCTTCTCTGTAAAATGATTTCTACATCAACTCCTGTGAAGTGGTCTTGAATCACTCTGGTAACTGTATGCCTTCAATACTTCAAAACTATCTAATTTCATCTTGACTTCCTACTGATTGTTCTCATGCTTTTAGATTCCAGTACAATGTATTTCTTACAAATCTCTTAGCCCTTTTCAATTTACCCCATCTCTGAAAAATTCTTTGTGAAAGATCTTATCTGGTTTTCTTTCAGCTATTTCCCAGGTTCACCACAAGTAAAATCTAGGACAGGGGTGTCAAACTCACATCCATAAGCTGGATCCATCACGTGCTGGCCTCACCCCTGCTGGGTTTAGCAAAGGGAAAAAGTCCTGATATGTCACGTGATGCCATGACAACTTGAGTTTGACACCCCTGATCCAGTCACATAATACAATGGCAGAGGAAATTTGCTTTCTTAATGCCATCACAGAGAAAAAAGAGAGAGGAAACTCTGTAAATGATAACTAATATGTAATAATTTAAATGTAATTCTCTGATTTCTTTTTATAAATCTGGATAACACTGAATTTTTAAAGCTTATTATACAGATCACTTGGTCAACTAATACATTTAATAAGAATTACCTTTTTTATGTAAGAGGTTCTTTCTAGCTCTAATAAAAGCTATAATATCAGCATCAGTTTGACGATCTCCTGTGAAGGGGATGGTAGAACTTGGATCTGGTAAAATCCTGAAATAACCAAGTGCATTTTTCAGTTGTTTTTGCTGTTCCAGACTGAGTTGAATATTGAACTTTCTTCTGCAGAATATTAATTTCATCTATCTGAATTCTGCTTATTTATTTCACCTAGCTTAAGACAAGATTCATTGACAAGTTCCACTGAAATGAGGGAAGCTACCTATTATTTTGAATTCTAAAACATTGCTTTGGAGCATAGGTGTATATGCTAGGAGCATCTTAAAACAACATATATGCTCTTCCATATGTATCTTCTTCCAGCTGTCCGCATATACCTCCAAATACCTTTATGAATTCAAATCTGAAGCACTGATCAACAGTGTGCAGGAGACTATGAGCTCTCTTGTTTTTTCTTGGCATAATCTTGTTTTAAAGAAGGAATTTACATGTAATCATTCTCCATGTAATCAGAAGCCCCAGCTGACTGCATATAATTTCCCTAATTTAGACCATCTATAAACATCTGGATGTAGATATGACAATGGTAGCATGCACAGCCCCATTAACCCTCTGTTCTCTTGTGACAGAGGCAGCTTCAGTGAGTATTCTAGATTCTCAAAAGGTGTAACTACTGGATACCTCATTTCTGAATTTGAGTTGCTGAGTCTGCTCATACTGCTCTTCACAGTTGACTCGTCATTGGAGCTGGCTCTGCTGTTATTTGGAACCCTGAGAAGAGAAAGTACTAAACTCATTTCAGGTTGCTACAACAAAATATATGTTACAAATGATATTTTCTACCCAATAAATCTATAAAAATTGAAAATAGTATTTAATTTTATAATGATTCCAATTCAAAAATTAATTTGGTGTGATACAGTAGGCACTATGATCACAAATCCTTCTTTTAAAGACTTAATAAATGGACACTGAGATGCATTAAATAACATTGTTTGTTTTTCTAATGCTGTCCTAAGGGAACAATAAGGAAGTTTTCTTTGTGTATCTGAACAATAGTTATTCTGATGAGGGCCTATGCTGTTTTCAAGTTATAATGTACATTGTGTGAACATTCCATTCTGCAACCATATATCTAGAGAAAACATTTGCTTTCATGAGATTCTACACTATTCTTACTGTAATTTTCACTTTAAAATTATATAATAATTGTTAGTCTAACCATAGTTTTTATTATGAAAATAATTTCAAACTCTGCTCAATTACTATTTAAATTCATGAAGAAGAGAAGTAAAGATAGTGAAAACTTAAATATTTTGACAGCTGAGAAATTAGTTTTGTCATCTAAACATATTTCTTAAAGAGACTTCATCAGTATATTTAGCATTGTTTTAAATAATAATTCAGTCTGAACATTTAGTCTCTTTTTAAAAAACACTATAGTGTGTTCCATCACTCTAATTCAGTCTGGAAGAACTCAGAATAAAGTAGTAGTTGGGTTCTTTCATTGAAGTTAGCAGCATTCTATTTTACAGTCTGTGATCTGCCATAGGAAAAATCAAAATATGGAAGCAAGACAGTGTGCATTCTTTTTCCATCTTCCAAGCTGCAGAAAGTGTTGGTATTCATCATTGTGGTGATGTAGCTATATTTGCAAAGTCGCTGATGATGGAGATTTACAGTCATTTTAGGATTGCAAAGTAGCTTCCATGACTTTTTGAATTTGTTGCAACTCTCAAACGCAAATGTTTGATTTGGCAATGCATTCCCCAGATAGGGACCATAGGGGCTACCTGAATGAACAACCTGCATTCAGGATTAGCAGTCCACTCAACTATGTCTGCTGCTGAAGAAACAGTTGCAGCAGATGGTGACTGCCCAAGTCCACAACATTTTTCACCATGTATCCCATGCTCTCTTGACATGGTTTCTTAAAAGTATTGTTGTAATGTTGATTGACAGAAAACAATATTTTCATGAAGGTATTTTAATCTAGTAAGATTTGAAAGTTACTATCACACCATAGTTCATAAGTTACATCAGGAATGTAGCATTGGATAGCAAGATGATGCTGTTTATGTTTAGTAATATCTTGAAGTCTTCAGTAAGAAGTTGATAGGCTGTTTTTTTCCCCCCACAGGATAGGATAGGTTAGGACAACAGGACAAGACAAGGCAGGACAGAATACTTTATTTGGTCAAGTGTAATTAGACACACAAGGAATTTGTCTCTGGTGCAGCAGCTTTCAATACAAAGCAACAGAATAATAATCATAATAATACTAATATGATGGGGGAGTAAAGAAGATAATAAGGATAAATAATATAGCTATACTACATGGGTAAATAGACATAGACATTACACAGCACTTTGAGAATTAGGTGTTCAGCAGATTGATAGTGTGAGGGGGAAAAGTCCTTGTGTCTAGTTGTTTTGGCATTCAATACTTTGTAGTGGCGTTCTGAGGGGAGGAATTGAAACAGTTATGTTCAGGATGGGAGGGGTCTGTAGATAATCTTCTCAGTCTTCCTTCTGACCCAAGCAATATAGAAGTCTTCTACGGAAGGCAGGCTGGTTGCACTCGCTCTTTCTACAGTCTTAACTGTCCATTGGAGTCTGTACCTATCCAGGCACTTATAGAAGGAGTAATGACAGACTTCATATTTTCTGGGTAGAACTGTATCAACAGCTCCTGGGGAAGTCTGAACTTTCTGAGTCGAGGCAGGAAGAACATTCTTTATTGTGCTTTTTAAATCATGGTTATAATATTAACTGTCCATTTCAAGTCCTGAGAGATTACAGTATAGAACACAAAAACTTGAAGGACTCTACTGATGATACTGTGCTTCAAACATAGTAAGAGGTGGTATAATAGGACAGGGCTCCTCCTAAAATCCACTCTCATCTGTACAGTTTTAAGCATGTTTAGTTCCAGGTTGTTTTACTTTAAATATATCTATGAAAGCTTTTGTTGTTTCTTTTTTAGCATCTTTTACCAGTAACAGCCCATCTTGAATTCCAGCTTTTTCAACATTATTTATACAAAACCAGATGATTCTTCCTTTATAATTTGGATTATTTTCCATTTCTGATATGCCACAGAATCCTATATATACATGAATTTATTAAAATAGGGTTTTTAAGTCCAAGTTATGCATTTGACTACATTATAAAATTTAGTTGCTATTCAATGAAGATTATCAGCATTATATGGTTACTTGCCCCCACGTTTCCTCAGTTTATTCCTAGTATTTAGTATGATGTGAAGAACAGCTGATAGTTTATGCATTGCTCTATTCTCTGAAGGAGAAACTTTTTAGCAAAAATATGCCAGGAATTTCCTGGAAGTATTATGGTTGTCATGTAATTTAATTCTCCTGTTACATTTACTTCATATGTATTTGAAAGTTACTTTATGCAATTCGAGTGTGGAAAGCAATCATCAAGGCTGATTGGCAATAGTAGATACCAATAACAGTACTGCTTTCATTAATTCCTCCACCTATATTAACTCCAATACACTCTACAGTATTGCCACAATAAATCACTTCAATTTCTAAGCAGATGTCAATATTTAGCATACACTATTTAGCATACTATTGCTTCTGTATCTTTTAATAGATCTCACATATTTTTCTTCATGCCTGTAATCCACATTCCTGTTTATACATGTCTCAGTAACAAAAGTGACAAAGTACTGAGGGTGACTTTGGGTTTGAGCATTATGTCCTTATTTTAAACATCAATTCAAAATGTAAATGCCTATTTTAAGATTGAACCACTAGATGGCAAACTTGAGGCATTCTTATTTTTCTGTGCTTAAATTAAATTCATCCCTTTGAATTCCAAATAGTTAGTTTGACCAAAATAAAAAAATAAATAAAGATGGAATGGAAAATAACATCTCTTAATAGTGTCAGAAGAGCCAAGAAAGCATTTCTCCCTAACTGGAGAACAGGGTCAAAGACTTTTGACTCCACTAAAGCAAAGATTTCCTGCTTGCACAGCTGAGAAAGCAGGAACAAGCTTTTAACCCAGCACTTCCCAAATTTGGGTATGTTATCCAAAATTTGGTGAAAGTGCTTTTTCTTTGGGTAATGACACAAACCCATTACCCAATCACAGCAAGGAATAAAAACATTTAAACTGACTTAAAATGTTTTACTTACTTTGGGTAAAAAAGACTTTCTGATAGTTTGAGGTAATGAAGGAAAACGTTTGGGAAACACTGATTTAACCCCACAATGCCTACAGGAGTCTCTTTTTAAAATGCATATAGTGCAGACTCTATCATTAGTTTGTCAAGTGTGTCATAAAAGTTGAATGGTAGAACCAGGGTCCATAATTATATGGTAGAGATGCACTGAGAACTTGAAACCCATCATCATTTCTTGCTGCATGTCTGCTTTGTTTACTGCATGAGAACATGGAGCGATAAAGCAACTAAGTGGAATGAAAAATTAAAGGATGTTTCCTACAGATATTAAGTGACTTTCTGATAGATATAAGATGAAATACAGGTAGTCCTCACTTAATAACCACAAGTGGGACCAACAATTCTGTTGCTAAGGGGATGTGGTCATTAAGCAACACAACACATGTCTATGATGCACTTACAACCTCACTTCCTCTTCAGTTGCTTAATATCACAACTGTGACTTGCAATTTTACCTTTGACTCTGGAGAATGAAAGAATTGATTGTGTGCAGTGAGAGGTATAACTTGTTAAAAGAGAGGACAAAAAAAACCAATCAATGGGTTTGAATTTTAAACATTGGGGTTAACCGGGGTTTGGAGTACTTCTTTTTCCCATTTCCTTTCTTACTCACACTAGTCGGAATGAACAATGGAGAATGAATATTAGGCTACTGCAATCTTTTTAATATTCTCCTGGTACAAGGACTTATTGAATAATAATCAGAACTGGAAGATATGTGGAGACTTCTATATTTCCTAAAATGATGGCTCTTGACCTGGTTAGTGTTAATTGTGTGCTGGCAGTAAGATAACTAAATTCAAATTGGATATCTGTGTTAAGCATATTACATGAAAGAAGACACTGAAGTGGTTTTTTTATGTAAATGAAGAAAGAATTTAATTTCTCAATGTTTTTTTTAACCATTTATCAAATAGGGACATTTTAGTTTTACCTGATGAAAATTAGATTTGTCTATTCTGGCAAGTAATTTATTTCAACTCATTAATCACTGAAATGTAATTAGTTCTGTTTGCTATTTCTCAAAATGTAGAAGTACCCAGAGGTAGAGTGAAGCAAAGAAGGAGACAATTGGAAAGAAGAGAAGACAATATGAAACTATTTAAAAAATAGAACGACCATATATCTCAGCATTCAGAGGATAGCCGCCTCTTTGAAGTGCTGTCAAAGACCCTTCTTGATTTAAAAGCATCATTTATTTTGTAAGACAAGCCTATCTAATTCCAGTTTAAGGATAATAAAAGATAAGAAATGGATGACTGTGAAATAGTTACACCAAAAGACTCAGGTTACTTGGCACAGAAAATTTCATCCATAATGGCAAGATAAATTACATAGTTTTCTGTAAACGATAGCACTCTATTGTAAGGAATTATAAAACTATGATGTTTTATATTTAGAATGCCTTTAAACTTCCAATCATGTGTCATAGAAAGGTTTGTCACTTTCCTCTTTTAGGTAAACCTCAAAAATGAATATATTATGACAAAGTAGATGAGAACAGGTTGTAAAAATTAAAAAGTGTGACCAATAACCTGATATTTGTATAGCATTA